AAAGTAACTGTTTATTTTAATAAGATTTTTATGGTTTATATTTTTAGAGCTGATTTTTGGTTTATTTAATTTGAGCTGTGGGCGAGTTGACACTGTTTCAATGGGGGTGTGGGATGGTAACAGACAGGGTTGCCAACCGCCCCATAAAAAACGGAATTATCGTATTTAGAAACAAAAGTACGCGTTCCGTATTGAGCTGCAACGGGACGCACTTTGTTCCGTATTATCGTGAAAATCAAAAAACATGTCCATGTTAATAGAGTTAGTAAATGATGGGGTGTTCTTTGTGGGATTTTACGGTAAATTAACTACCGCCCTCTCCTGCTCTGTGACCAGTGAGCAGTCCTCTTACTCTTGAAGCCCAGAATCCGGCTCATCTGATTGGTTCAACTCCCGTTGTTTATCAAAACCACCGGCAGACAGGATTCGACAAGACCTCATGGACACGAGCGGCAGGAATGCAGAGGATTTAAACACCACACATGGTTCACCTTCCATCAACAACCCGACTACTCCTCCCAGAAAAAATTTTAAAAAAAGGAACAGCTGCAAAAATACAGAATCAAGTGAGAAAAGGAATTTTTTTGAATTTGTCATTATAGCCATGCTTACCTATTACATGATACAACAGCATGCCATCATCTATTACTACTCTGCTGCCATCAAGTGGCTGAAAGTGGTACTGCTCTTTTTTTTCAGTCAGAATGAATGAAAACGGTCATATCTCAGCCAAAAAGTGGTTTATACATATGGGAAAAAAATCTATAATGTCGCTTCGGCTTATAAGTCGCAGGGCATGCAAATTATGCAAAAAAACTGTGACTTATAGGCCAAAAAATACGTTACTCACCTTGTAGCTGGCTGCAAACCATGAAATGGATTTCCTGAATGTGAGGCGGGTCTTATTACTCTGGGTTTCATGAAACACGCCTCCGTTCAGGAAGTCCATTCCATAGTTGGAAGCCAACTTGCAGAGCAGCCGTTTCAACGTTATGGAGATGATTCAGCAGACACAGACATGCACCAAGGATCGGAAATCGCTGCAGGTTGAATTGGAAAACGTCGCAACATAAATTATGCTGGTATTGGAGGCCGATACCGGATCGGATCGGCCCCATCCCTACTTATTCACTGGGAAAATAAATAACATACTTTGCAAATTTGACAACAACAAAAAAAAAAAAGCCAGGAACTCTATATTTAAAACTCCCCATACAACCAAAGGCTAAAGAAACACACTTTATTTTTTTAATGCATTACCCCTCCAAAGAGCTACTAAAAAAAAAACATTTAAATGTTGATAAATGCTCATTTTGTGAAAAGGATATAGAAACAATAGACCATATCGTCTATGAATGCAACAAACCAAAATATTTTAAGAAAGATGGATCACACTGAAAATTACACTTCCTGAATCCATTTCTAGACATATGGTAACATTTGGAGTATTTTTTACAAAACAATAAGATGGAACTCGGCTGTAATCTGACATTTTGTCTGGCAAAATTCTTTATCCATAAACAGAGAGATCATCCCCAGTTTTTAACATTTTTTTTTATCTGAATTCCAATTATATTTGAAATCTCTGAAATATATTGAAACACGTAGAGACCTGTATGAAATGTTAATGGAAGTGCCCAATGCTAATCCTAAAACATCTACCCCCTTATTGTAGTTTATTTTATTTCTTCTTTTTTCACATCGAATCTGCTTCTATGCCCTTTTTAGAGTTACACTTGTGAACTGCCATATTTGTTGGTACTTGTTTTTGCTAAATGAAGTTTATAAAAACAAACGTTTATGAATAAGAACCGTCTTAATTTACTTAGAAAAGTATGTGCTCCATCTCCGCCGATTTCATGTCGTTAATTTACGCCACTCGTATTTCTGTTAAAATCATCGACATATTTACGTCATGTTAGGATGATATGCAGCTTCACCACTGAGCGGCGCTGTTTCACCATAAAAATAATTCATTCTGTATCCTGCAGGGTTTTTCTCATTCATCCCAGACTGTAGCAGAAATACGCGTGGAGTGAATTAGCTACATGAAGATCGGTGGAGAAAGAGCGCGTACTGGAGTTTACTTTTCTGAGTAAATTAAGTCTGTTTTTATTCACAAATAACGGCGATCCGTGTGACCCGGAAGTACACTACGGATCGTGCTTCCGTAACGTTTCGGGGAATGACCCGCAGAAACTCCACAAACCCACTCAAGTCAAACTGGACCGGACGCGGCCGAGCTTCATTCATCAGCTCATGTCGAGTCCGTTAAGCGCTGACTGAACTGCCGGCCAGGCGGGCGGAGCTACGCCGGCCCCCACGGGCGGTGTTACACCGGCCTGCCCTCTGAACAGAGGCGGGATGTTTACTCTGGATCGTCCTTGGAGAAGTCAGACACGCCGCAAAAATTCACCAGCCGCGACACGCCTCCCGCGTGTCCCTCCGCGCATTCCACAGGCTGGCGGCAGAAAGTAGTGCCGCTGCCTGAACCACGTAGGTGCAAATAAGTGATTCAGTACATAAAGATGCTCGTGCTTTATTAAGTCTTTTTATGTATTCATTTATCTTTTGTTTGCTAATGCAAAACATATGCTTATAATTTTTAATTATATAGTTACAAAACTATACATTATTAAGTTATAGTAGTTAAAGTATAACTTATAGTACTAGTCATAGTTTATTAAGTTATAATAGAATAAAGTAAGCTAATCTTGTTTTAGGGCATCTGCATCAAGTCCTTGTTAACATTAATAATTTATATTTTGAATGTAAAATATTGGCATGGCTTCTCATTTAGATTAAAAAACTGAGCATACTTCATTTAGTGCAGACTCTCTGTGACTGTTGAACAACTTTAGATAAAATAAAGTTAGATTTTTCAGTCATCTTTTATTTTGATTAAGAAAGAGCAACATCAAGTTGGATTGATTAAACTCCCGTTGATGCAACCAAGAAAAGATGTCAATAATCTGACGTGCATTCATATACTGACTGAAATTGGAGCAACTTTTTAATTGTGGTCCCCTTTTAGTTACTGAGTTTGACATCCTGATTTAAGGAATTTATAAAGTTTAGAAAAAATTTAAGGCTCAGGAGGAAAAAGAAGCTGCGGTTCCTATTTTTATTTAAAGCAAAATAAACAAAGCTGAACAAACACCGAGTACCAACAAGTTGCCATTTCTCCTTCACAATCTCTAATAAAATAGTTAAGTGTATTTCAGCTATAACTTATTAAAAAATAAACTTTTACAAAGGTACGATGTGTTTTTTTTTTATCTAAGCTTTAACATTTAACTACAACAGAGTATTATCCTGAATATATATATATATATATATATATATATATGAATATATATACATATCCTCATATAAAAATACTATTTCCAAATCCTTTGTAACCAAGTATGAAATATTTTTTTCTTTAACATAAATTCAGACAGTGGCAATTTTTTAACAAATTAAATGCAAAAACAGAACATTTTGGTGTTTTCTTATTATTGTCCATGGACAGTTTATTAGTTACTATGTGAGATGGTTTAGCCTGTCTAAAGGACTGAATCATAAAATATGAGCTGAAGTTATATTTGAATACTTCACCCGCCAAGTCTTAAGACAACTTTAGACAAAATGTGCATTATTAAAAAACATAGTCAACATAATGACTTTAAAGTTAAACTGCTGGTGAAGTAAAGGTCCAATGACTACTTCCACTTGCTTTAGACTTTAGTGTTCAGACTTAAAGTTAATTTAAAATAGCAGTTTGACAATTATTAACTCATCCATAAGCTTCTATAAAGCCTCTAATGAGTCAGTTTTGCGTTCTTTAAATACAAGTTGTGAACAGTAAAAAAAAGAAAAAAGCTGCCATTACAGCACGTTTTTATATTTTTTATTAAATAATGTAATTATTTTAAGTGCAGGTTTCACAAAGTGGAGACATCCTCTGGGGGGGTTGTCTGGCAGAAAGGTGTTCCGGCCTGCTGGGGGGGGGGGGACTGATAAAGGAACAATGCGCGTCAATTTAAGAGAAACAACAGCACGCGACATAACGGCCAGGGTTGGTTTGTCATTTCAAAATAAAAGCACATCCGCTCCACGTTCGACAAAAATACGCAATATATAATATGTTTGTGGCGGTAAACTTTAGTGGACGTCTATAAAAATGCTTTATAAATGTGCTTAAATCGATTTTATTAGTATGCGCTTCAGTTTTTTACGCTTTTCAAAGTAAAAAAAAATCTGCGTATTTTTATCTTGACAAACAAAAACCGGAACTTCTTCCCTCCGTTGCAGCTAGCCTAAAGTAAAAGAAAAGAGGGGGAGGTAAGTTAATATTTCAGGGGGAAGAAAGAAAGGAACAAAGTTGTTGAGTGTGCGGTGCTCACGGGGTGTGATTTTATTGGTCTCGTTAGTTCGGCACCGGTTTCTTGGACGTTTAAGCAACGACTCCCCTTCATTTTTCTCCTTCCCTGCCAACTTCTCCGCTAACTCTCCACCGACCGAGTCTCCGGACGGGACTTCTCTCTTTGGAAAACGGGAATGATAAAAGCAGCCGAGGCGGATGGACGGACGGACGTGTAACCGGTGCCGTGTGTGTTTTCTGTTACCTTCTTCAGAGGTAAAGGTGTGTTTGTGAGCTCTCTTCAGATGAATGGCAGGAATCGGACCGATTCGACTCCTCTCTGTGAACAAACGGGTTTATAATCTGGTCTACACTGGACCCACATGAAGTCTGCATCCTGCTGCTCAAAGTATCTCCGCTTTGTGCCTTTTTATAAAGAAAACTCAAACAGAGGGTCTAACCCAGTCCCAACTGGGCACCCAGCCTGACTTTACTGGACTAAACTACCTGAGGGCCCACAAAGGAAGCCCCCCCACGACCATAGGTCACAGCAGCTTTATTTGTTCGTCCTGCTTCCTGACTGGAGCTGTTTGTAATTCATGGAGTCCTCACCACAGCCTACCTGTGCCTGCAGCTTTCACATCATGTAGGAAAACCAGATGACTCAGGGGACCCAAGTTATGTTGCCACCTTCAAAATGTCCTAAAGGGTTTTTATTTATCTGTTCTCTATTTATTGTGCTTATAGAAGGGGTCCTTTCAAAGCGCTTGAGCGAGTTTTTGGAGCATTTTTGTTTTGCTGTAACTCTCGTCACACTGCGTTTGAACACGACAACATCTGCGTTATAAAGTGTGCTGATCCACAAGAGAGAAAAGGCTTCGTCATGGACAAACCAATAAGCAAGTTGTTGGTGAAGTTGAAGCTCACAGACGCAGGCAGCGTGAAATTCAACAGTTCCAAGAAAAAGCAGGAGTCTGCCAACAACTCTAATAACAGCAATGCTAACGCCGGCACCTCGGCCACCGGTGGAGGGGGCGGCACGCTGCCGTCTGGTCCTAGCCCCCCGGCCGCCTCACCCTCGAGACCTGGCCAGTTCTCGCTCTCCTCCTCAACCACAAATGATCTGTGTGTTCCAGCAAGCGGGAGAGCAGGAGGAGGAGGGATGGGAATGGCTCCCTCTCAACTCCTCACCACTCCACCCACCACTTCCACAGTGGGCACCATACCTCCAGATGGCGAGCAGCAACTTCATCCCTCCACCATGGCACAACTGAGGCGCCCCTCCCCCAAGCAGAGAGCCTCCTGTTACCTAGGTGAAGGTGTGGATTCCCACCTCAGGCGTGAGTCTGGCCTGGGCCCTGAGGGAGACTCTCTGGGATCGTTTGGCTCCAAGGCATCCCTCAATCAACGTCGCTACTCCCTGGAGCTCCAGCAGCTGGTCAAACGGCATCATCTCCTCTCCCAGCCTCCTCCTCACTCAGTCCCTCCACTGTACCCTGCTGCCCCGGGATATGGATCCACTCCGAGAGGTTGTGGAGGCGGTCAGGCAGAACCTGGATACTTTTCCGAACCCGAGAGGCACAAGCGCTTCTCCCTTCAGGAGGCTTTGTTTTACAAACGCCTGAGCACGGGCAGCGACGTGTGGGAGAACCCCAGGCCTGCCTCCCTCTCTCATCCACCGCATCGCCCGTCTGATATACCAGGTGGGGGCATGGGAGCAGGCTTGTTTTACCCCCCAGGGCCAACTTTAAGCCCGTGCTCTTCATTCAGCCTCCAGGAATCAGTTCTGGTCAGTCCAAGGTCCAGCTTTGCCTCCAGCACAGCCAGCGGTGGAGGAGGAGGGAGCCCCATGGGGAGCTGCTGCAGCAGCAACAGGACCAGCGGGATCAGCTTAGGTTACGACACTCGCTACGCCGCATCTGGAGGCCTCGCTCCTCCTCCACAGCAAATCATGCAGGCTGGAGGATCCGCGGCTGCTTATGGAGCTCCGAGCAGGGCTGGGGTAACTTCTGTAGAGGCCTGGACTCAGTACCTGGAAGGAGGGATGTGTCCAGGAACAAACGACAGCCGTCACTCCTACCCACCGGCCGTAGGGAGCCCAGCAGCAGCGTGCTACCAGGGAGGACCGGAGTGGTGGGATGATCAGCAAGCCGGAGGGAAAGCCAAAGAGGCAGGTGTGATGGGGGAGAGGGCCCGGTACTCCGACCTGCCTGGTACCCGCTACCAGGAAGAGCTGACGCGACTTCTCCTGAGGGATGCTGCTCGAGAAGGTGGGGGACTGCTGGAGGGCCTGAGGCTGAAGGATCAGTCTTTAGCCCTGACCACTCTGTCTAAACCAGGTGCAGCAGCGACGGGGTCCTCCTCAGCTGGTGGTCCGGTCAAACCTCAAGAAGACCCAGGGCCTGCAGCTGGAAGAGAGACCGGGGAAAACCGCCAGGAGTTCTTTGGTGAGATCTTTTGTTTTTAGCTGTCGTTAGTGCAAAGAGAAAGATGACGTCATCAGAGCTGTATTTAACACAAATTATTAAGTCACACCTCTAATTTTAGCCGGTGCCGTCACCACTCACAGATCCTGAGCAGTCGTGAAAGATTGTCGGGTCGCCCGGCGTCTGCCTTCACCATGTTATTATCATCATCCTCACTGCCTGGTGTCAGATCACAGGTTTCTCTGTAAATGAAAGGCTTGCGTATGGATAGATGGACAGATTAATACTTAAAAGAGCGCACGGATAGACGGATGGTGCCGTGGAACCTGCAGGGACTTGTAGGGTCACAACAAGCGAGCTTAAAGAAAAGGAAGAGCTGCTTGGGCTTCAGGAACCGATCCAGACAAGTGTTCGGCTGAAGAGAGGAAGGAAAAGCGGCACGTGCTGAAATAAAGGCGTGCACACGAGAAGTACACAAGCAACAACTAGACTGGTATGTGAGGGTTCTCTCACAGAACGAGGCAGATGTGGTGCAGGGTTAATCCAATGATGCAAAACTGCTGTAACTCAGACACAAATTACGTGCCTCAGTATGAAGACAGCTCTGGTCATTACTGAGTCATAACAGATTAGGAGTGTGTGTGTATAGTTTCTCTTTGAGGTAGGGTGTGTTTCCCCCCATGTGACTTCAGGCCATAGTAACGCAGTGTGTGTGATGCTGCCTTGGCGTGTGCAGGGGCGGTGTGCTGCAGCCTGTTTTTCTGCTCAGGTATGTGCGCCCGGAGGGGACACACAATACTGTACCGCTCTGAGCGAAGTCGGCGCACACCTGCAACGCCAACAAACCGAAAAAGAAAAGAAAATCCCCGTAAAACGAAAAAGAAAGAGTCCGACCTGATTATGTTGCTATGTAAAGAGAAAGAAGGTTGTCTAATGTTTGCTTTCTGATAGGTCTTTTTAAGTTTTCTGCTTGAAAAGGAACAAACGTGCCAAACCGCTTTCATCACGTCTTCAGAATGTCCCATTTTCTTAACTTTAGGTGGCAAAGTCCAGCTTTATCCTACAGAACGTCCCGTTTAAACTGTGAAAGTTAAGTCTCGGCCACTTGAACCACTTTATTTCCATCGCAGTCTATATGTAGCAACTTGTGGACATTGTATTTAAAGTTTTTCTCTTTTCTTGGGTTTGGCAGTGACTTGTGTTTGCTCTAAAATATCAAAGGGGCCGTCTGAGCTCGCAGCAGCACAGTGTAGGAATTCATGATTTGTGTGGCACTCCCTCAACCACATTAGAAGGGAAAAATCTCAATACCACCCCATAAATAGCTCACAGAAAGAGTGACGATCAGACCACCGCCACTTTACATTTAGTACGCTGCCTATTAGTCATGTTAATTTGAGACGACTCGACTGGCTTTTTAAAGATGCTACACAGTTAAACTGAAGGTAATTCTGACCTAAAACGGTGTATATGTGTAAAGTGACAGGTTAAAAGAATAGTTCAGGTCCTTTGAAGTGGGGCTCAGTGGAAACATTATAAACGATAACCCTAAGGAAGTGTCTCGTTGAGCTGCGACTAGTTGGCAAACAGCATTTGCGAGGGAGTCTCTAAAAGGTTTCAAAACGTTTGCCGTGGTCCCCGATTCCCTCGCATGAGTCGCGGTGGCGCGTAGTGTTGGTGCTCGAATTTTGAACATGCTCAAAACATTTGCGCAACAAATTTCATCGTAAAAATTTCGGAGTTGTCTTGAACGTGACTCAAACCCGCAATTTAGTTATTCTTAAGTCTAGAGCTGTATTTGTATACCTCCTTGACAGAAAGCATCTGAGATTATAGCCCCGAGTGTCCCGGACTAAAAATCATTCAGAAGATGATTATTATAAAAATATATGTATTTAAAAAACCTGGTCCAATTTGACATTCTGCATTTTAAGTTTACTCCAGTAGATTAAACCCTAAACTTGTGGGTACAAAGCAGGCTGTGACGGGTAGTGTGCGAGTGGAGGTCAGGGATTCATTTGCAAACCGATCAATGCCGGAACGCAAATAGTGGGCAGACCGGCAGGGGGCTCAGAGAGTCCTCCCCCAGAAATTTTTGCATAAAGTAGATGCGATTTCCTGCATTTTGGTGTATTTCAATGGGTTGTTAAACATCTACGTTTAATTACATTTGTAAACAAATGTCCGTCTGTTCATGGTCGCTGCCTGTGGGCTCCTGCCCGTGTACGACTGCCTGGTTAGCACGGCGCTCACCACCACCACGCTTTTAGGGGCGGAGATTTTTTTTAAGTGTAGACATGGGGATGCTACGTGAAGAGGCAGTTTGTATGCTTGAAAGTGGCTGTTGTGTTTAAAATTAGTGTTTACGTACTGGTGATTATTTTCAGTTTTCAGTCCAATATAAGTTTTATTCGTTCAAGGCAGTCAGTCATATTTGTCCATAACTTGATTATTAATAAGCCTGAGAGTTACCGAATCCAAGGAAACAGTTACCGGAACGCACCCCGTCAAAATGGAGTTCCCGGATCCTGTTCCGGCAAGATACAGTTTTGGGAGCCGTGTTCAAAACCCACGGCTCGCTAACACTCAGACCGTCAGAGAGAAGGAGCCAATTTTCTCATAAGTGCGGATCTCTAACAGCAAAATCCAGCGAGTTACCGGTACTCCACATTGGTACTCCACATTTACCTGTAGGAGATAACCTTTTGAATAATCTCAGAAATGGGATTTAATTCTGATCAAATTGTCAAGCTAATAATCCATGCGAGTCCAAAACAGCATAGTGGATTATTTGAACACTATTTTTACAATCCTTTTATTCACTGTCAGTTTTGATTTATCCAGTTAACCCAATATATTCCTGCAGGATGCACTACATGCCGTCTCTGTGCTTGCAAAACAAAAATAATAATAATAAATGGTGAAGTAATGAAAAACTGAGGTCTTCTGCTGTAAGACAGAAATAATCCACTTTGTTCTTGGCTTCTCTGTCTAGCTGCTAGCTATTGAGCCATTACTTCAAACAGAGGTGGTTTAAAGTGCTTTCTACAACAGGTAAAATATTCATTCTTCATATTTTTAAGTCATCGAAGCAACCACTTAAACTTTGGCTCAACTGATTAGGAAAATATGTCGCTGGATAACAATTTGAAGGAAGTGGCAAAAGATCAATTGTTGGTTTCTGGGAAGCTGCGGCTCCTCTCCTACAAAAAGAAGTCCTATCATTATAGTATCTAAACTGCTCTAAATGTAGGGTTTGAATAAAATTTAAAGGCATGTCTAAGCTCCAAACTCTTGAAGAAAGAGGCTTCTATTTTCTGGAAAGGCTGTTGCCAAAAAAAAAAAAAAGAGAGAGAGAAAGAAAGAGGGGGAGGAAAAAAAAAAAGTCAGATCCGGTGGAGTTTCCCTTGGCTGGATGAGCAAACAGAGGTTTTGAGTTTGAACTGTGTGAAAATCCCCTAGGTGGTGCGAACGAGAGGATTTACAAGTGTTGACAGTCTGCGTGGAGATGGATTTTAGACGCGTCTTTGTGGAATGCGTCGTAAACAAAGCGGCAGAGGAGCCGCCGTGTGGTTTCCCTCCCCGCTAAACGCACGTCTGTGTCCACTGTGTCGCTGACAGGTACTTGTGTGAAGTGCGGGAAAGGCGTGTACGGGGCGGACAACGCCTGCCAAGCTCTGGACAACCTCTATCACACACGCTGCTTCACCTGTGTGTCCTGTGGTGAGCGTGCACACACACACCTAACAGTGTCCTCCGCTGTCACGTCTTTTCTAAACGTTTCCCATCCAAACGTCTCGTGTCGTCTGGTTCCTCCGCAGGACGCACCCTGAGGAACAAGGACTTCTACAACGTCAGCGGCTCTGTGTACTGTAAAGAGGATTACATGGTAAGAGTTGAGGCCGAGGCGTTTTGTCATCCGTTTGTTGCGCACACACAGCCATGTTCGGAGGCCGTTCCTAATCTCTTCGCTTTAATTACAGTTTTCAGGATTCCAGGCAGCTGCGGAGAAGTGCAGCGTGTGTGGTCACCTTATTCTCGAACAGGTGAGGCCAAATTTATAGACTTTCTGTCACTTTTAATCAAACCATACATGCTCTTATCTAGTTCCAAGGTCTTTTTTTTTTTTTTTTTTTAGTAAATCACAAGTTATGTTTCCCATCATTCCTTCAAGTCCTCCAGAGGACTGAGAAAATGCAGTGACGTCTTTCTGTTGGCACTTCTTTGGTTTTCCCACGATAAGATTGTCACTGGAATGTTTGTCCTGGGTTTTTGATAAATAAAGGATTAAAGCTCTGCAGCGATTATCTATAAACGTTTTTATCATGTATGAACGGCGCAGTATAAAGAGAAGGCGGTTCGTCTGCGACCCACAAGAATTTAAAGTTTCTGAATGACGCGCTCCTTGATTTGAAACGTTGTCGCGTCTTTGAGAACAAAATGTATCATTAAAGGAGTCCGATGCTGAAAATGATCAGCAGGATGTGACGTTTCTAGTTCCAGTTCCTAACCTGAACATGTGTTCTCACATCGTTATCAGCTGTTCGCAGCAAATATTCATGTTTGTAGCGATAAAAAGAAGCAGAAAATACATTTTATCTTGGGAGACGAGCCAGGGATTGTAACGTTTGCTCTGAACTGCATTCATTTAGTAAAAAAAACAACTTTATAAAGGACTGCAGAATAAAATGAAACTTTTGAAAGTCAAATTTATGTCAGTCTTTGGTCCCTGGAGCAGCTCTTTCAAGCTTTGACCAAAACCAACATAAAACTGAATTTTATTGGTTATACGAACAATTTTTTTTTGCAAATATGTGAACACCGGAGCGAGTACAAGGAGTAAAAGGTCAAGTAGGTTTATTGTCATTTCACCACGTGGTACATAATGTGGAACAAAATTATGTACACAGGGTCCCAGTTACACCCACAAATAGCAAAAATATAGAAAGTGTAAAAAGAAACAGGAAATAAGGATCTAAGATATACACATATTTACTAAATGTATAAAATATAATTTGTATGTATATTTGTATTACCAGGTAAATATGTTTAATTTAAAATATAAATAAAACGTACTTTAACATCAAAGTTCTTGCCCAATAATCCAGGTAAAAAAAAAAACAACCAAAGTTAAGTCAGGTCCTCTGGACGGTTTCTTTTTGTTGAGACGTTTCATCTTTCATCCAAAGGACTTCATCAGTCTGAGAAGCCACAACAAACTCACTCCCATTAGTAACACACTCACAAAGTGGACCAACCAGTTTGATGGTGATAAAATGGCCCACTATGAGAGTGTGCTACTAATGGGAGTGAGTTTGTCATGGCTCCTCAGACTGATGAAGTCCTTTGGATGAAAGATGAAACGTCTCAACGAAAAGAAATCGCCCAAGAGGACCTGACTGAACTTTGTTGGATACTCACTTTAACTTGATGCTTTATTTATTTACATGAAGAACTGTCTGCATAGTTTATAGATTTCTAATAATAAAAAAACACCCAGCTCTTTACAAGAATCTGGTCTTTTTCTTTAATAAATGTTAATCATTAGATATTTTTTACTTTACGTCACCCTTACTGGCCACAAAAGCCCCCTCCAGCAAACCTAAAGTGGCCACAGGCCACCAGTTGATAACCACAGCTGTAGCAGGTTGTTGCGGCTCTGGGCTCATTTAATTTAAAGAACAAAGGTGTAAAAATGTCTCTTTTGACCGTAAAGGTTGCAGACCCCCCCTGATGTAGACAATTAAAACGTGCATGTGCCGTCTTCAAATGTATTTTAATTGAAGAGCACAAAAAGAAAAGCGTCAAATGACCAATGAACAAGATTTAAAAATGACGGATGGTCTAAAACCAGACTCACGTGTACCGTAAAGGCTTTTTGTCCAGTTACTGGTTTGTCCTCTCAGATCCTGCAGGCTGTTGGGAACTCGTACCACCCCGGTTGTTTCCGCTGCGTGGTCTGCTCCAAGGCTCTGGACGGGGTGCCGTTCACCGTGGACCAGCACAGCAACATATACTGTGTCGCAGACTACAACAAGTGAGGCTCAGCTTTACTCGTTTATCACAAAACTGAACCGTTCCAGTTCGGCTTTCGATCTTTCTGAGGCACGTTTCAACGATTCAGACGTTTTTATAGTTTAATGCACCAAAAGTGCTGTAATACGCTGGTGTATTCTTTTATCCAGAATGTAGTAAAATTAGCAGTTTGAACTGAGTGCACCTTTTTTCTCTCATTGAAATGAGTTTCTCAGCTTCAGGGATCATTTTGCTGGTTTGAAGACTTATTTGAGTTTTCTTGTCCCATTGCAGGACTTTTGCACCGAAGTGTGCGGCCTGCTTACAACCCATCCTACCTACCGAGGTGAGTAACCGACTCATGGCTTTAAACCTCAGCAGTTTTCACTGGAAAGATTATGAAGCATTCACACTGTTGTGATTCATTTTTCTTACGTACTTTTTCAGCATCTTGTTCCACAACTTTTATGACATTTCAACAAATCATAAATCAAAACGTTCAGCTCTTTCAGGAGAAGGGTGCTATAACTTTTAGTATTGGTGCAACTTTAGCTTTTAAAAAAAATATTTAGCCTTTTCTGCCATTTTTTTTTCTTACTGAAAATGAATTGAGCTCATTTTCAATTCTTCAAATATTTAGATCTGTTTACAACCTTTTTACTGCTCCTTTCACATTTTGTTCTGGTTCAGCTTCTTTCAGCTTCCTTGTGCAAAAAAAATAAAATAAAACAGCTAATTTCAGCTGTTTGTGCTCCTTATATTCTTTCTGCTAACAACATTTTTGTGTTTCATCTAACTTCTTTCTGTTAATTTCAGCTTGTTATGCTCTTTTCAACTTATTTCTGCAAGTTTCTGCGTTTTCTGCTATTTCAGCTACTATTTAGCTGTTTTCATGCCAATTTTAGCTTTTTCAGCTAATTCCACTTTTTTTTTTTTTTGCACAAATTTTTACTTTTTTTCTGCCTCATTCAACAAAAAAAATATCTCCACTTCCTTCTTTCTCCTTTTTTAGCTACTTTTCAGCAGGCGTTTTGTACTATCCATCCATCCATTTTCTTTACCCGTTTGTTCCATTTTGGGTCACGGGGGTCGCTGGTGCCCATGTCCAGCAATCACTGTGCGAGGGGCGGGGTACACCCTGGACGGGTCGCAAGTCCATCACAGGGACACATAGAGACAAACGAGACAAACAACCATTCACTCTCTCACTCACACCTAGGGACAATTTAGAGTTACCAATCAGCCTAACATGCATGTTTTTGGTCTGTGGGAGGAAACCGGAGCACCCGGAGAAAACCCACGCATGCACGGAGAGAACATGCAAACTCCACCCAAAAAGGCCCCTGGACCGGGGTTTGAACCAGGGACCTTCTCACTGAGAGGCAGCAGCTCTACCAGTTGCGCCACCGTGCTGCCCGTTTTGTACTAATTTAAGCTTTTTTTTTTTTTAGATAATTTCTACTTTTTTGTGCTCATTTCTGCTTCTTTCAGCCCAATTTGGCAACCATATTCTTTCTGCTTTCTTCTACTAATTTAAGCTTGTTCTACCATTTCAGCTTTTTTATAGCTAATTTTAGCTGTTTTCAGATAAATTCAAGTTTTCATGGCAATTTCTCATTTCAGCTTAATTTAAATTAAATACACTTCTTTATGCCAATTTCTGCTAGTTTCAACTATTTCTGCTTTTTCAGTTATTGTTTAGCTGTTTTTATGCTAATTTTAGCTTTTTCAGCTAATTCCACATTTTCAAACTCATTTCATCTCTTTCCACATCCTTATGGTAGGTTAAGCTTCTTTTTGCCTTTTCAGCTTTTTAGCTAATTTCTGCTTATTTAAACCTAATTCAGCAAATGTGTTCTTTACTTTCTTCTGCTGTTAGGCTTGTTCTTCCATTTCAGCATGTTTTTAGCCAATTTCAGCTGTTTTTACAGCAAGTTCTTCAGCAATAATCATTCACACTGCGTCTCTCTAATTTACATTTCACGTTGCTTTATCTGGGATTTTATGTCTTGTTATTTTGAAGGTCGTTCAGTTTTAGAAAGCCAAAGAGTAATTTGTTGTAAACCATACATTAAATAACCAAACTGCTTAGACTGATGCAATAACTTGTATTTATTTTTATGTGCTGCAATTATTACTTTAAGAAAGCCTTTAAGCTGATGACATTTATAAGCAGCAGCTTCAAGCAGTGTTAGGACTAAGTTTGATAAAGAGATTCATTCTTTATGATCGTTAAAAGTGCAACATATAGATTCAAAAAGATTATTAGTAAATCTCTCTGTCCCTGCATTGTGTCTCAGGGCAGTGAGGAGATCCTCAGGGTCGTGTCCATGAACAAGGACTACCACTTTGAGTGCTACCACTGTGAGGTGAGTTATCTTCTAAATACCTCAAAGCTTCTCTCAACAGATTCCTTCAAGCGTTTTGTCAGGAAGTAGTTTCACGACTGACCTTACTCCACTTCCTCTGCCGTTCTGTCCTTATCTGAGGGTTTTCTCCTTTTGTTCCTCTCAGGAGTGTGGCAAGCAGCTCTCCGATAAGCCCGGCTCGCAGTGCTTCCCCCTGGACGCTCATCTCCTCTGCCACTCCTGTCACATGAACAGAGTGTGCGCCACACAGAACATTCCTGCACACAACACACACTGACCGGCCTCGACGCAGCCGTGGAGCTTAGAAACAAGCCTGTACGCTCTAATGTCCTTCATAATCCTTCATTTGTTTTTACAAGATAAAACAACTGCTGAGACATTTCATCCACGTTGCATTTTGTCACACAGCCTGCTGTACTCCTTGTACTATTACTGTTGTACTATTACTGTACTTTAGTTAAAAGGGAACGAAAGAGACTACTGCTTTATTAATCCTCATGTGGCTACTGTTTGCTGTAGAAGAACAAGGGATTGTGTGCGTGTGTATAATAGCAAACATTTTGCACTTAAATTTGACTTGACTGTAAAGATTTGTTACATAAATCTGTACAAGTTGAAGAAAAACAAAAAAGCATTGCTGTAATTTTTTTATGTGGTTCTAAATATTTTCACTGTGCGCAGATTGTGTACTTACAAACGGTCACGATTTCAATAAAACTTAACATTTCAATATTTCGCTCTAAATGTTTGTGATCCCGATTAAAAAAACAATTTAACAGATAGTGATAAACCAATTTAAGTTTATTTCTTCAATTCTTTGTACATTGAGCACTTGCAGGGGAATTTAAAAAAAAGCAACAAAATCAAACTTTTTAACCAAAAGGTAGAATATTAAAATTTGCAACCGCTGCTCTCGTTTTTTTTTTTGTTTTTGAAGAAAGTGGATTTTTACCTCCTTTAATATGAAGGGGCCGGAGGAGGTTCCTGTCCTCTCGTCCTCAATAACATCTGATAAATACAAACTGGGACATGTTAGCACATCTTTTCCTATTGGTTACAGTGGAGACCAGCTGGTATCTTTTAAGTGAGATGCAACACAACAACCCTCCATATTAGAAAAATAATCACGGTTCAAAAACAACAAATTCTACTTTGAAAGAAAAGCTTGTTGGGACATTTTTTGTTGTGCATACATAGATATATATCAGTGCTGAAGAGCGGAGGGAAAGATGTGAAGTCATGGTCAGATCTATTTTGGACTGGTTTTATTACAGGGCTGAGTGGAGGAAGGAGCGGCCGCAGAGCTAAAATAACGAGGCCGACTCTGAAACCTCAGAGGGACAAAAATGAAGCCTGAAAACGACCGCCCTCGGCTTCTTTTCTTCCAACACAAAATAAACGTTACAGAAACTAAGAGAGCTGCTCTCTACAAAAGAAAAAAAAAGACAATTTGCTGTCCAAAAACAAAGATCATAAAACGTAGACCGAGCTCGACGTACGGATGATTTTCTATAAATGACAAAGTATGTTTTTGAGCGTGAACATTAAGGAGGAGGGAGAATAGCGCGGAAGACGACGCTGGCGTCAAAAGTGAGGAAATTAAAGCCCCGTGAATCCTCAACACACGGCAGGAAGTGGAAACCCTGCCTTTCATCACTTCCTGCCCTCTGCCTCCCTCTCCAGCGTCTCAGCGACGCCGTTCTCTGGGGTTGCTACGACTACGAGAACGCCGCCCGCTGCCAAAGCCTGGTGAGGGCCGCTTGGATCGGTGGCTGCCGTCTTTCCTCTTGTCCCCCTCTCTGTCTCGGACCCGCTCTCGCTCCCGGTCTCCGTTGGCTCCTCTGCTGGCGGCCACGCCGCTTGTTGTCGTGCTGTCTTTCTCCCGACCTTTCAGCCTTTCAACCTTCTTCTCTTCTTCACGCTTTTTGTTCGCCTCATCTTGCTCCTTGCGCCGTTGCTCGCGCTCCTTCTGCCGCTCCAAGCGTTCTAAGATCCTCTGAGTTGCCTGGAAGACACAAATAACAGTTCAGGTACGTTAGGACACGCAGAAGAAGTCAGTGCAGCTGACGTGGAAATAACTGCGTGAGACCAACCTGCTCTTCAGTGAGGGGAAGCCAGTATATACAAGGAGCTGCTTTGGTCTTCAGGAACAGGTCGTCTAGTAATTTAGCAGGAGGCTCATCTTTCTCTGCCAGAAAGAAAACATGCAGCTGAACACAAGCGGAGAGGGAAAGAAACGATAAAGTGCTAAGACGATCTTTCTGATCACGTCTAACTGAAACTGAGAGAAGACTTGAGTTGAAGGCTCACTAACCTGTATAAATAAAAATTGAATGAGTTGTGTCAGTCCTCATCAGCTAAGTGAACTCTGTCAGTGTGCTGCGTTTTGAACTGATGTGTATTCACAGAACAGATCTGAATAAAACTTACTGGAAGTAATCATTGGGTGATCAAATACAATTAGGGATGCACAACATTGAATTTTTGGCCGATATCCGATATGTTAAAACTTATTTGGCTGATAACCGACACCAATACCAATATTTCCCCCCTAGACCTACTTACAGAGACTACATAGCTTTCTCTGCTGTGGCATTAAAATACTACATTACTCTGCACGGTCTTTGTCAGTTTGGCCTGAAACCAAATGCAATGCCAAAAAGGGGCTGAAAATGATGCAACACAATATGTTAATGTCAATTTTTTTCATGATATTTACTCTCTAACACAATGACAACACTCGAACAGTCATACAAAAACAGCACCATATATATATATATATATATATATATATATATATATATAAAAACAGAACCTTTTACATCAATGGGTTATTTTGATGGAATGGCCGATGTCCAATATTTAACGTTATCGCTAATATCGGCCAATACGGATACATTTTCCAAGTGACAGTGTTATTAGTATAAAACTCGGTACGACAGGAGGAGGGCAATATGCATTTTTTTCAAACCAAGGTAGAACTTACAACTATTTTTATTTTGTAAACAAACTCATGATGTGGATGAACTAACCCTAACATGACTGTGTTGTGACTGCAGTTTGGACTGGAAATGATGGACAAGAAGTCTTTTTTTTTTAATTTTAATTTTAAAAAAATTGTTTTTTTTTTTTTTTTGCTAAAGTTTGAGATGAAATTTTAAACGTGACACATTTTAAAAAGTCACATAGGTGCAGTGAGTTTTTAGTAAATATTCTCCTCAGTGTTTCATAACTTCCAGCAGCAGTAAAAAACAAAACTACCTTGGTCTGTCTGATCTGATCCCAGCGACATAAATCTCTTACCCTTCTTGTCACTCTTCCTCTCCCTGCTCTTTGCTCTCTCCCTCCTCCTCCTCTCTCGCTCTCTGGATCGAGATCGCCGCCCGTCCTCTCCCGGTCTTGAAAAATCGCAGACTTTATCCCGGTCCCATTCTCGCTCGCCTCGCGCCTTTTCACGGCGCTCCATCTCCCTCTGACGCTCTGCCCACAGATCCCGGACTCCTCGGTCCCGTTCCCGTTCCCTGTCCCGCTCACGCTCCTTGTCTCGGTCCCGGTCCCGCTCGGGCATCAGAGGGGGCAGCCGGTTCTGAGGAACGACCAGCTGGGCAACATGCTCCTCCTCTTTCTTTGGCTTCAAGATGCCTTTGTGAAAGTCCAGCTATGGACATTAAAAAAAATTAATTATTTTAACGTTATACAAGAACACAAAACATTAAGAATCATCATAAAGTGGCTGTAATTTAAAATCTTTTTCTCTGTATTAAATTAAAGATATTAAAACTATGTATATCATCAAATTAAAGGTGATGATATATTTTGGGGACATTTTAGACATGAATTACCTCATCTTGCTCACAAAAGTCCACGCTAAGCACCTTGGGATTACTAGCAGGCCATCTGACTCCGTGCAGAGCCGTCCTGGTGGCGACGGTTTCCTCTGTGGTAGCGTACTGTGAAGACGGGACAGAAGATCAAAGAGGTTAACAGACAGAAAACAGCCAGATAAAAGCTGTAATTACAGCTCGAGCACATGCTGAAAACACCAGAGCAGGGACAGAGTGAGACGTTTGGATCAGGAGACAAAAGAGTGACGGTGCAAAACAACCCCATCACCTAGATTCATTTTAACATCTTTATGCATTTCCTAACAACATTTATTTTCTTCACATAAATTAACAATACAGTAGTCCCTCGCTACTTCGCGGTTTGACTTTCAAGGACTCGCTCTTTCGTGGCTTTTCAAAGTAAAACTGTACACGATAAAAAAAATGTACAGGATACGATTGTCAACTTTAATATTACGTGATTGGGACAGTACTGGACACTGTACAGTAAAAAGTTAACGAAAAATAAAATACTTCCGACAGGCGCCACCATTTTGTAGTTTTCTCTCAATAAGCCTTTACTGTATCCCCACTCTTAACAAATACATTTCCCAGAAGCCCTGTTGCCTTCTGCTGAAATACTAGAGGGAAAGTTTTGACCGGATCGGAAAAAGTTCAGCGCTTATTCATTCAGTGACTTCAACGCCCAGCGGATGCAGAGAGCCGCACGGAACCCACCAGGAACCGGAGCAGAACCAGAACCAGTACTGGACCTCTAAACTCATCGGTCAAGTTGAGAGTTGCTTGCCGGCCCACGAGGACTTCTGAGCGGGGACGAGCCACCTGTAGGTCCGGCTTCCTCCCCGGAGCCCTCCATTACTACCCCAAGCCAGAGCCAGAACCAGCAGGTCTGATGAAACGGAACCAAGTCGGACCAGAACCGAGCTACTGCTGTTCTGCAGAGCTGGTGAGTAACATTTAGTAGCTACATATATAGTACTGTACATATGTTGTTAAAATGAGTTAAGAGTTTAGAACATTGTAAGAGTGTGGGAAGGGTTTATAAAGCCTTTAAATATATATAAATAAATATATATATAATAAATAAATAAATAAATAAATAAATAAATAAATATATATATATATATATATATATATATATATATATATATATATATATATATATACATATACATATACATACATACATACTAAAATAAATATAACATTGCTACTTTGTGGATTTTCACTTAAAACTTATTGCCATTTTTAAATCTTGTTCAAAAATATACTTTTACTTGGTGGCCTTCGAACCCAGACGTCAACTCCAACCTCGTTGTATTTTTATTGATCTGTTTGAGCTGATGCATTTATGTATTTTTTTTATTCATTTGTCCTGTGCGTGTTTGTTTTGTTGTCCTTTAATCAGATTTGTAGATGTTTATTTTAGGTGCCTTATAAATAAAGTGGTATAGATTGTATGCTCAAACATAGAACAAGTCAAAAGTCTGGAAAAAAAAGACGATTTAAAATGAACCAATAGATAATCAGTCATTTACTTTCTTCAAAACTTATTAAACTATCAGATTATGTGGGTTAGCAGATCAAACAGATTTTCAACAAATTACTATAAGTGTAGGTGTTGAAGAACCATCTGAACTGGAGGATTTTTCACAGCTACTTTAATTCATGACACTTTAAAGCCGTTAAATTAAAAAGTTTCATGAAACGGTCACTTACTGTGACGTAGCAGTGAGACTTGATCTTGTCAATCCAGAAACCCTCCTCCATCACACTTCCTGTCCGGTTCAGCAGCTCCTTGAGATGTAGCAGGGTAAAGGGTCGTACCTAAAGAAGAACAACAGTTAGCCAAACAGACCCACAATATAAAACTGAATAAAAAGAAGCTGTTAAAATAACAAACGATCCTCCGAAATTAAAGCAGGCCGTTCCAATAAACCATTTAGATGCACGATATTAGAAAGACTTGTCATGTGAGATATTACTGTTAATACTGAAATGTTTATATCAATTGCTATAAACCTATATTTACCCCACTTTTTCTTCTGTCATCACTGAAATCAAAACCAGGAGTAAGCATAAAGGCCAACTTAACAACACTGACATTAACACATGACCATGCAGAACATGAACCAGTAGTTCTTGAATTATTACGGCCTATGATTTCAGCTCTTTGCAACATTAATATTGTGCTCGCAGACACTGCGATGACGATACATTTTCTGTAATTGTGCAGCTTTAATTCAGGGTTTAAAGCGTTTTATGAAAATAAAATTCAGTTTTCACTGTCTGGAAAATGTGCAAGTCGTTTCCCAGGTTTTCCCTGATTTCCAGAGCTGCTGGGAACCCTGATAGATTATGCTAACTTCAATAACATGACAGGAAAACAAGAACAGAAAGAACTATGGCGAGTTGATATGACACGGTGGACACAACTTGGACTCTTGATAGACATCCATATGAGAAGAGGATTAGTCCTCTAAATGGGAAATGGACTGGACTTCTATACTGTAGCACCTGTCGATCTAGTCAAGACACTCAAAGCACTTTACAACACAACCTATGCCCCCATTGACCCATTCATACAGCACTCTACAAGATCTATACAAAGATAATCTCAATCTGTAGAGACTAATCAGTGCTTTAGATCATTCATACACTGATGGGACACACATTGGAGGCAATGAGGGGTTCGGTGTTTTGCCCAGGGACACTTCAACATGTGACTGCTGGTGGAATCAAACCCCCAACTCTCTCACTGGAGGACAGCTGCTCTAACCACTCAGCCCCATCGTTTAACCCTTTACATTTTCTCTTGTTGCCAGGTTATACTTTCCTGTTCCTCAACACCAAAACAAGTTTACTTTAATTTTTTATCTTTGTAATAAAAGTGAAGCAAACTTCCCTAAAAATGAGGCTTTTGTTGGCTCTTGAACTCAGGGTATAAAAAGTGTTTCTTCTGCTGCCACCCTCAGGCCAAAAGACACATACTTCTGCACCACACCGGGATCAGGACAAAAAGGGTTTCCAACATTCCACATCAATTTAAATCACATGCTTGGGTCTAAAATGATGGTGAATATTAAAGAGTCACATCTTCACTTTAATCCGTGAGGAATTTGGACTGAAAACATCAAAGCTTCGCAGCGCCTTCACCCGAGCACAACCTCAAGTCTCGCCTCTATGACGCGAGCCAGAAAACCCTCTGAAAATGGAGGTGATTAAATGTGTAATGTCTCATCTTGTCACAGTCTGGTTAGTCACCCGCCGTGCTCCTGAGTGAAGGTTTCGCCTGACTGCAGCTGGAACACCTGGGTTATTATTTCTGATTGTGACTGCAGGTGAGGTTACCGCTGGCATCCACACGACATACTTCATTCATGACAAATGTGGGGGTTTTATTCTGTGCAGGAAGGCTGAGTTTAAATCACTTCGACAAAACAAAAACACGTTTCTGCTGTAAATGTATTCCTACTTGTCAGAGAAGTAAAAGTTCCACAACTTTTCCCTGTCCCTCATGTCTTGTGCTGCGTGTACTCACCAGGTTCGTCACGTGGATGATGTTGGAGACTTTTCCACGTGGCGGTGAGGGCTGCCTGGTTGAGCGAATAGGGTCGTCGATTGTGACAGAGACACCGGACTTCTGCTGACTGATGGAGCGGCGAACCAGACTGTCGCTGGGAGTAACTAAAAGGGAGAAAATGGAAAGGGTTAAACACGACTGACAGAAAAGCTGCGCAATGTTAGTGCTGGATACTGCAAAGACTACATTAGTTGTGCTCAACCCACAAGTTCTGTCGTTACGTTACGACGCGAGTCCACCTGATCGCCACATTTGCCTGATTTGCATGAAGGTTGTGTGATTGTTTGGAATCCTACTGCAACATGATTATTTATGATGTGTTGTTTTATAATTAGGGCTAATATAATGCCCTAGTTGACAGTATAAAAGAAACAATTCTCAAAAGAACCCATTTGAATCCTAATGGTTCAATATTCAGAATGAACCCACGTTATATTTGCTCTTTAGCCAAGCAGTCCGTTTATTTTTATTCTGCAGCGATGATGTTTCAGTGTCGATAAGGAAGCAGAGAGGTTTGAGTTGGTTTCAGCTGAAGCGAGACATTTTTCTCAGATTATTTGTCTGTATTAGAGCTTCTGATTACTTTTTGGAGTTAATATGTAGAAGCAATTAAAAAAAAAGGGAAAACGAGTCTTGTGGTCGTTAAATGCGTGTTTGCACGTAAATTTAAGGTTATGAAGTAAACAGCTAATTGAAACGCGAGTACTTGGGGAACACCACAACAGTTTTGGCTCATATAATTTGCAACCATCCAAAACTGAAAGAACGTGATGATGTCATCATCCGGCTGTGGATCAGTGCAAACTGTGCCATGATATCAACCTCCCAGCAAATCAAATGGGCACAAAACAGGACATTATTCACGTTTATGGAAAAGATAAGAGACGGGTAAAACACTTTGATTTACACTTATTTATACATTTGATTTAATATAGATTGGACCTCCGTTAGCTAAAAAAGCAGCTACTGCTGCAACGAACAATACCTCCTCACACAGATTTCTAAGGGGCAGTTTACACGGCGCATGAGATTATACGGTTCTGCTGTTCATTTACACGACACCAGTAGCCCCTCTCTTTGAATCTGGAGGTTTCTCAACACACTCTCGTAGTGGAGGTTTTCAGGAGACTGCCCGCTGATCATGTACACATTTCCCACAGAGCAGTGAAAGCACATGCGCACAACAGGTGTATATTTCACGCACGCGCAGCATATTTCTATCAACAACAATGGCGGCGGAGTATAATATACTGCTTTTCTGAGCTACGACTGATGGAATATATTTTGGGTCTCGTAGTTAATTTACACCAGAATGTAGGTGCTGTGATCGACATCTGTGTTGGGAAGAGGCCAGTCAGATCCAGTTCTAATATTGCTGTTAATTGAAGGAGGTAGGCGTATATTTCATGCGTCGCACTGGACTATAACGTACTAAATGTGCTAAGTTATAAGTTTAACAATAATAAACAGTATTTATGTTGGTGATAGGAGATAAAATGAAGCTATGCTAAAGCTATATGGACATTATGTAATTCAAGTTGTGACTTAAACAATGCGACACATACTGCATGTTAAAGTTGAAAATGAAGACATGTTTAATTTTTATTTATTGAATCAACACCACAAACTGTATGTCAAACAAACACCGATAATTAAACTGAGCACACCATTAAAAACACGTTAACCGAACTACATTAATGAACTTTACTCTTCCCCTCTGCTGTCATCGTGGATGGTGGCATGTTGTTTTTCTGGCTTGTTCAGGCCGTCACTCCTTTGCTTGATGCAGCTTCAAACATCGAATGGATTGGAAAAAAGAACTGAGGGGAATTTTAAATAAATAGTTCATCCAACGTCTCTCTTTGACGTTCTCCTGCACCGCACCTGGGCCGAAGAAACGCATGCCCGCTGAGAACTGCATACCCTGTAGCAGGAACGCGCATTGTTCTAAGCTCTCAAAATTTTTTTTTTATTTTGGCAGATTAATTGAAATAAAAACAGTCCTAATGTTTTAGATATCAGTAGTTCTAAAAATTCATAAATAATGCATAAATTAAACAATTTAACGAGGGGAGGTGGGGAGTAATCTTTAAAATAATGAACAATTCTGCAAGCATTTTATCATGCAGCTGCACGTTTATTACCATATATTACAGCACGATAACACAGAGGGCATGTTTCATTATGTAGAAAATTTGATATCACCCTATATCTGTTTAATCCTTTGATATAGGAGGGGATGCATTTTTTTGGCAAAGCAAATACCGAGTCTGCTGATATCAGCATCCCCTGTCTATTTTCCACAAATATTGTCCTATTGATATGAAACGCATACCATTAGCTCAGAGGACATTTGTAATAATGTAGAACAGGTTATTAACTCGTTAGCAGGGGGTGCATTTTTTGGACAATTGGGTTCCAGCGACAGGGCACGCAATTCTCGGCATAACATCTGTCCGCCTCTGGTGGGAGGACCGAGGCTCTCCCACCAGTTTCTCCTCGCAGGAAAAATAAGAACTCAGTTGGTTGTTCAGTGCCCGAAATAAACACAAGCTAGTAACATTATTATGAACGTTGATTTACCTGCAGTAAATCGGCACCGCTCAGTGACCGGTGTCGAGCCGTTAGACGAAGCGGTCCCGCTTGGCGTCAAGTCTGTCGACCCTTATCAAAAATCCAGCCAAAATCCAGCTTTATGTTGTTGTTAGCTGGGCTATTAGCCCCGAGAACGTTGGTTACGTACTGTAACCCCAGATTCTATGAATATAAGCGTAGCCCTTTAAGGCCTTCGCTTTAGTGGGTTTATCCCGTTATGCAGAGCATAAGCACTGAAAAAAAATTAGTCCACGCCCACCTGCTGTGTGGGCCCTACCCGGTCCGTATAAATTACGTTAAGAGCGGGAAATCGGCTCCCA